CTGGCTTGCAATTATTAAGGGTAATGGACAAATAAACGAGGGAACCGCCATCAATGCAATAATGGTAAAAAACAATCTTACGGACAATCACTTTTACAACCGCGTTTACGACATTAGTTCCGGAGAATCTATTTCATTTTGAAGCACTATACTCGTTTCATGTTTAACTCGTACTTTGTTAGCTGTTTACCGAAAATCCATTCCCTAAAACGTATTCGCCTGCAAGTCGCTGACTTCATAATATTTTGAACCTTGTGAAGTCAGACGCTTTTTCGACAGTGAAATGTTTTACGATTTTCTAATACATGTAAACCACATTAGGCGGCTTAAAGTTTGCTATTGTTTTCATGCCTCTTCCCCTAAATGCACAAAAATTACTTGCCGGACTAACCCGATTCGTTTGTCACTTTTTTGGTTCCTCTTCACATCTATCAGTACCATACACTCAGCACTATAAACTGTCGCTTGGTTCATCGTCACATCTGTATTATTAGGGCCATATGTGTACCGTTGCCCCAGGTTGCAGGCTGATTCCACCGTTTTTCATATAAAAATAAACGTCTCTACTTCTTTTTTTGTTTATTGGTTATATAAACGTACAGTACACTTTTATGTAGGGAAGCCGCGGCCGTACGAAGGCTGCTTGGGGGAATTCAGATAATGGGGAGCTGGGTGGTGGTGATGTTCGAACTCAGAACCTCCAGGTGGTTATTCGACGATCTAAGTACTCAACCACTGCTGTTGTGACTGACTGTTTGGTTTTTCTGATTACAAAGTTCAGTACGTTCACTGTTTGTTGATAATTTTCCAAATTTGTCTTTTCCCTCTTAGCCTCTTCCGTGCCAACAACGGACAACAGGCAATGGATTTTGCTCACTTTTCCCCTGTTCAAATTTGTTCCGGGCGAACACGTACAAGGGGACAGGGTGTTCCGACTTTATCGTTTCGGTTTGCAATGGTACGAGACGGAGCACAATGCCGAACTGCTGCTCGGTCTGATTCGTCTGTTTGATCCACTCTGGTTGCTATGACACCATACCCATCCCCGATGGGGAACAATAAATGAATTAGGTGTTTTTTCTTCCGTATTTGTATTGGCTTCCGCGCTCACATCTTGCCGCGCGGCTTGCTCAACGTCTTTGCTGCTTCCGGATGGTTTGCTCCACCTCCTAAATCCATAATTTTTTCTTTTCTTTTTGCATTTTGATCATTGCCATCGTCTTCGAGATTTTATTATTGTTTATCCCGATGATTTGAACCCAATACACTAATGAGATCCAGTCGTGTTTGTTCTCTTCATTCTGTGCTGTTTCTTTTAACTATGGCCCTTTTGTTCACACTGTATGTATCATTCCCACCGCTAATCCAATGTTATTTTATTTGTTTGTGTGTGTATGAAGTGTTCTACTGCCGGCCGATGATATATTCCTTTAATATTTTAGCTAGATAATAGTAACAATGATTTACCGAGGTGCCAACAAGATTCTAGATGACCCTCTTCATCCACTGCATCTCGATCTATCATCTTGTCGTTCCCATCCGTCCACACGCTCGTCATTTCGGCATCTTCCCTCGCATTAAGATTTATAAAAAATTCCCTTGTATCCTAATTGGCCCGACTCCTAACCAAAAAGGAACAGGATGTACGTGAACTACGTCAAAAGTTTTGTGGATGAAACAAACTTCAAGGACATTCTTTACCTTGCACGCTATATGATATGCTGTATACTTCATTACGGGTGAAGAACAGTGTACATTTTTAAGTGAAAAGTAAGCATATAATCTTACACAGTTTACACAAATACAAATTCGAGAATGCGGTAGGCTTTATGTATTCGATCTCATCTCTGATAGCGCGACATTCAAAATGACCAGAAATTAAATATGAGTAGGAGGCAACTCTTTGATTAATAAAGTAGTTATCTGCCTGTCGAGAAAATAAGTCTATTGTGACTTCTGGAAGCGCGATGCCATTTTTAGTCTCCACGACCGTCGACCATGGTGGTTCCCATTCGAACGCGGCAAGCTGTAAAGTAAATATCCCTCCCATTCACTCTTATGACTTTAACGAAGCGCATAGCTGTGTGTATGCGTGTGTGTTGAGGTTTGATTGACTTCAAAAGCCACAGTTGCAGAAGGTAGTGTGAGAAGAGGGAGAGAGAAAGAGAGAAGAAACACGTAATAAAAACATTGTATATATATATGTACATATATACTTTGTTGTTTTCCTTCTCTTCTTTTCCCCTCTACTCTAATGGTCGTTTTCTGGAACAATTCGTTGTTTACTTATTCCCAACTTTCGTTGTGTATGGGATCCGGTTGTCTTTCTTCATCCGCTCCTGTGTAATATTCCCCGGAGGTTAAACTCATTAGATATGCATCACTTATCCCGCGACTCTCAGCTTCAGTTCTCCTACTGATGAATGTGGCTTGGAATTGTGTCAACCAGTCCTCGTTCACTCATTTCCCTTTTCTGTTTTTCGTCATTTATCAGCGGATCTGATCCGAATCTGTATTATTTTACGACCGATAAGTCAACTGTGAACGTAAACATTCATGAGGTGATCAGTTTTCACAATGGTCCGTGGCAGCGATTTGCAAATGTAGGTCATAAAATAACGAATTCACTGTGCAATCATAGTGACTGTTCTCGTAGTCTCAACTTTATCCTATGGGATTGAAAACCCCGATTTTACAAGTAGGGAATTGATTGACTCATCGCTTGGTATGTCCCCGAGGATGAGCGTCGACCTTAAGGATAACATTGAAATGAAAATAATGGAAGCTTTTTGATCTTAGCCTAAAGTGACAAAGCCAGGACTGTTATGGAGGTTTTGTTTGTCCGTTTTTCGTGCAGAGTTTGTATTATTTAAGCCGCTGCAAAAGTGTGTCTACCCTTGAAACTGGAAAACGTTTGCTGTACGTGCTACTGCTTGTCCAGTCGCTCGGTCCCTGTAATAGTCAAATTTTTATAATCGATTATAAGACAGTTCGTGATCAGTTTGGGTGGTTATTTTCTTCAGTTCTTGAATCCAACACTTAAACAATACCCGCCTTCTAAACTCGAGATACTCTATCACTGCTCCACATTGGTTCTTCTCGCTGGGTTTGGAATACAAACCGTTCAATATTCATTGATTCAGCACCACTTACTTCTTAATCACTCTTACTGTAGCCCGGAATATAGGCATTCCATCGGGGCAATGAATGGAATGTCTTTATTTTTATACACATGATATTTCATTCACTTTTCTGAGTCGTTGATTAGATCGCTTTGAAGTACCGTGACGATAGGCATAGCATTATCAAACTTCTAACTAACTTCACACCGGTCATGACCGTGAGTTGCAAACTATCCCTTGCAATATCTGGTTCATCTATGGTTCATTTATGCAAATGGTGCCACAAGCCTCGCGTAATAATGATCGATGACCCAATTGTCGCGAAATACATTATTCCGCGTTTCCTGGTGTGTTGCAGTTCAGGTCTATTATTCCGGTTAGGGTTATCGGTAAGGAATCGGGTCTATGATAGTTTGAATAATATCAGTGACCTGAACTATATTCAATAACTGACACTGATTATCGAAAATTTCGATTATTCCCCTTTTTGTGTGCTTAGCACACGCGTGATATGTTTACCATGTATTGCGGCAACTATTTTTTAATTGGTACCTCCCCGTTGGTGTTCCACAGATATTTGATATGATTCTCTCTGAACATGAAATATTGTTTACTCTATTTCCAGTCTTCCATACATCGGCTCTTACGGCATTTGCCTAGTTCCACTGTTTTCTCCGGACGACTAAACCGAAATGTTCCGGTACTAAGACTCGCCTGTGCTCTATATTCGTCGCAATTACCTGTCAAACAAACAGAACCTTACGGCGCCGCAGCGATCAAGTTGCGTATCCCCGTGCCGGATCGTCCTAACCGCCTTCCACGTGGTGAGGGTGTTGGAGGTGGCCAATTGGGACGCGTGGCTCAGTTGCGCCGTTCACTGCAAACCTTGTTTGACGAAGAACGACTGGAGTTGCGTTGGAAAGATGCTACGGAGGTTCGTCTTTATGCGGAACGTTTAATCCAGGAGGCTATTCGTTCCTCTTATGAGCCAGGAACTGAAGAACTGGTGCAATTCTGGTTAGATACCGAACCGGGTAAAACGGTACCATTAGACGATCTGACTGTGCAAACCTCATGTGCAGTGTTAGAATTGGTTGTGTTCTGGTTAACCAAACCTCATCTGGTGGAGAAACTGTTCAAAGTGAGAATGGTTCTGTTTCTGAATTTTTCGTGACGCTTTGAGTTGTTCATGTTGTCACACCTGGCACCATTATTTCTTAATCTGATCGCATTTTTTCAATACTGATATGGCAAATGCCCTTTCTCCCCAAAAGAACTTCTCTCTACTTTTTAAAAATTCTTATGAAACGTTTTTTCACACTAGTTTTGATTTTCCCGTCGGCTTTCTGTGAGATCACTAACCATATATAATGATCCCGTTGAATAATAAGCATACTTGTTTTTTCTCGTGAACTGCTTCGTGGTTATCGTTCTACTCTCGCCACCTTCCGTTCCAGGTGTTTGTTCCACGTTATCGATTTTACGATCGGGCCTATACGAGTCTGTTTCGTCTCCCTCCGGCACAACATCCTTCGCCCCACGCTCAGTCGTTTCATGGATTTGGTGTGCTCGAATTACATGGTAATCCGTGGCCTCCTGTTCGTGGTCCCGTTTCTGAACCGTTCAAGGACCGTTATTTGGTGAATATCCTAGTCGCGGGTGCACTAAAACACGCCAGAGCGCAACAAAACTCATCCTCCGAACCAAACAAGGCTCAAACCGTTTCGATGGACTCCACATCACCAGCTGAAATTGAAAACAGCTGATAGATGTGGTGATTTACGTCAGTGGACAGTTTTGTATAGCTCACGCTTTAGTGCAAATCAGAAATCATGGTGTGTGAAAATAAATTGCTTTTTCTCAGAAAACATTCGTGTTTTTGTATTGTACTCATTTTTGTATGCGTCTGGTTTGCTTCTGATGAGTAAAGAACACCAGAAAGTCGCTGTTTTAATCTCATGACCATCACACTGTTGAAATTCGTTCATAAGATGGATGGAAAAGATTTTGTTTTCCTCAGGACGGACTCCAAGAAACAGCCCGCAGCGTTGTAGAAAAAGTAACTTTGTTCAAAGCAACGTGCACTGTGTGAATGACTGCTAAAACACTGCTAATTTTACGGGTTCATACAGGTTTGAAATAGGTTGTGAATGGTACAGTACAGGTGGAATAAGAATCTGGGAACAAATGTTCTACTGGGAATTACACGTTAAAGACAGGTTTTTGAAAAGTCAAGAAGACTCAGAAGTGAACGAAGCTACATCCTNAAAAATGTGAGGCTAGTCTGAGCTTTATAAACTGAGGAAAGGTGAGTGGAAATGGATCAAGTGTATGATGCGGAAGATAGCTGCAACGGGCACATAAATACATTTTGTTGACCTTAAAAGTAGAAAAGATGAAGACGGTCCCAATGCAGGAAACGGCTGACGTTTGAATCAAAATGTGTTCCAAGGGAGAAATATTCACTCTTAAGATAAATCGACACAAGAAAAGCTGAACCGGCCGTGAGTAAACACGATTGTCAGCCTTAAATAGAAATTACGCCGATATTGAAATTGAGGGCAAGAGAGACCACCTGTCATGGTTAATACTGGAGGAAGCCTAGCTGAAAGAGGAATAGGACAGAAGAGAGCACAGAGCGCTGTCACAGCAAAGACATGAACAAGATTAAAAGTTTACGGAGGAAGGTCATCGATTAATATCAGAGCAGGTTTGGGGGAAATTACACATACGGAACGAGACATGGCCTGGTCCATATGTATCAGTCTTTGAGAAAACTCGCTGTCCGGAGCATGTCCCGTGGGAAACTTCAGTGGTGTAGCCAACGGATCTTGGAGGGTAAATTAAGTAGAAAATGAGATAGAATAGTGGTCTAATCAACCAATCGGGGGAAATGTGGAAATTTATGATGTACGGAAAAGATGGAGTGTATGATCACAGTTGTCAGCTCACTCTAGGGTATAACTGTAGGGGGGGGGAGGGAGGCAGTCAATTGGTGTAGGTTGTTTACTAGGGTGGTTAGTTCTGCCGTGCATCCATGTGATGTCTCGGCAGAATGTAACAGCCATTACCTATTTTTTTATCGCAACCCTGATTTCCAACTAAAATAAATAGTATCAAGCATCAATCATATGAGAAATCACGATCCTCAACCCACCCGTAAATACCCACACATATATACTAAATTCGGTACCTGCGTAACCACCTGGATCAATCGAATTCCCGTGCTCAGCGCGGTGTCTGACGACCCGATGATTGGAACAACCAATGAGCCCTAACAGACCTTGATCACAAGCACTGAATGACACCTCAGTCTCTCTCCTGACGCAGTATCTTGTTTGCGTCGGAAACGGCCGAATCATGCTGGCGGTATAAAAACAATTAATAAGGCAGAGGTCAAGGTCGTTCTGTGAAAAAATATACTTTAATGGTAGGTTACAATGTGACTGTGTCAACTGGTTAGATTTTGTGCAATGCAGATTTATTACTTATCCTTTGACTAAATCTCACCCACAGTACACAAGACACCATCGACGGTATTAGCCAATTTGAGATTGGTTCACTTCAGGGTATTGAGGGGACGTTTGTTGTGAGGGGAGTGTGGTATGATTTCCCAGTAGTTTATGCCCAGTTTTATCATAATTTCATAATGTCCTTTTTTCTCTGAGTTACTCCCTCCATATGTTACATAGAAGAGCCCATTATTGGACAGCAACCATTACTTGGTGCTTGATATTGCGGTTCACCTAACAGTTTTACGACCTACCCGTGAAGCCTCTGGTTGTGGAGGACACCATCAGTGGTTTTGAAGTAGTCAAGCCATTTAGGCCATTATCACTGACGTGGTACAATCTTCGAACTTCAATAGAGAATAACTTCGCCATTGGGGTCGTGTGTCGCTATTAAGCGCCCTATTAAGGCCGTCGGTGGGTGTTTCGCTAAATAGATACTGTCGCCTCGGGATCCTCTAGAAATGCCCTCCTAATGACCTGCGGTCATATTCTCATTCATTATTCATTATAATTTCATGACATTAACATTTTTACTGAGTTGAAAAGGCGACTAGCTGCAGCCGGATTGACTATGCGTCAAAAGGTCACCAATGATGAGTATGAGCTACTGAATCACTGTACCAAATTTTGGTCATTCTAATCGAACATTTTTATATGCATCTTGCGCTTACCAGCTGTTGTGTCCCGTTTAAGTAAGTAAATGAGCACGCAGTCAATTATGCAAAACGTTTATTGTAAAGGCCACACATGTAGCCGATCCTTAGATCGGTGAGCAAACAGAACCAGACAACAGATAAGGACGCAGGTAGGTAGGTCTACAACTGGCTCAGGTGTCACACCACATCGATGGGCCGTCAAGCAGGCATTCAAACCGTCAGCGAATCAGTCAGGAGATCAAACCATCAATCATCTCGGTCACGAGCATGCATATTAAACGCTTCAGTCAATTTTAGGCATCAGCACCCGATTATTAGCCCCGTATCTAGCATCTGCATTTTTATCTTGTAGCATTGCAGTCCCCATAGTCACGAGGATATACTGGCTGGTTATTATTATATGGTGTCGTGGAACTGAATCGGTGACAGCGATGCTGTCAGTTGGCGGGTACGGGATTTCCACTTCACGAACCACTGAGTGTGGTATTCGGACTGGTCGCCTAATGCATGGTTTTGTTTTGTTACCACTTGCATCTGGCTCGTTTTTCATGACTACATGAGGCGCATGACAGGTACTCAGTGAACTATATTGAATTTTTTGATCTTCACACACACATCCTCAGCCATTGCAGTAGGTTTTTATGAAGCGAGCTCCCTTCCAATTTTCGAGAAGAGATCTCGCAACTACTGCGTAAACCACCTTGGGATAAGTTTGATGCCAATCGTCACCAACTTATTAGTCTTCGTCATACTTCGACCTCTGCCACCGTTTAGGGAGACAAGTATCCGCGAACAACAAACAGAATTTCGACCTAGTCTCGGTTGTACCAATCAGATCTTCACACTGTGTCAAGTCCTCGAGCTACGCCATGCACACAGTCAACCAACGGTTGTCGTGTTCCTTCATCTAGATAGGTCCTTTGACCCATTTTCTCGCGAAACCCCTTATGGGGTGAATCCTTCGCAAAGTTCACTCTACTCGCATACTTCTGGTAGCGTAAGAGGCTACCGTGAGCTGAGTAGATCGTTCGTAACTAGCAGCGGTCTGCGTCAAAGGTGCTCTATTTCACCATTCCTGTCGTAGACGAAGTACTGGAGAACGCACTAAGTGGTCTCCAAAATGTTGATATTGATTGTGCAGCTGGAGAAAAGCTGTGCAATCTAGAGTACGCTGGCGACATTGCTTGTTCGAATCTATAGAGGATGCAAAAAGGGCACTTGACACATTAACAAGTTCTGTCGCTCCGTTCGGCATGCACTTTGTACGTTCAAAGTAAAAAGTGATGCCTCAAGACTGGGTGTCGCGAACCCCGTTCTGAAACTAGACGACCGGAAATTAGTTGAAGTTGACTGCTTCTCGTACTTGCGTAACCGACGACGGTAGCGCATCAAAGGAGACAACCACCCACATTTCCAAGACTGGAGCACCGTAAGCAGGACTAAAACACCTGTGGCGACGACGTGACGTTTTACTGAAGTTGAGAAGTCGCGAATACTACGCCTCTGTGTGATCAGTTTTGCTTTACGGTTGTGAGACGTTGAATTTGCTAGTAGAAGACATCTGTCGCCTAGTGGTTTTCGATACCCGATGCTCACTCAGTTTGGCCCAGGTTGGATGGAATAATCGGGTTAGTAATCTCTAAGTAATTCGTCTGGTGTCCGGGAATGCATCGAACACAAAGTGGAATTCAGCTCAACAGGCTCCGTTAGTTAGGATACATTTTACTTATGTCTACCGGTCGCCCACTCCACCGCACCTTATCTGCAGTGGCCGCTTCTGGCTGGAGAAAGCCACGTTGAGTCAGCGATGATATGGAGACGAAGCTTGAAAAAAATTACAAAGCGATTAGGTAGAATAGGTGTTTCTCGTGTTCCGGGTCGGGGTCCAAAAGACCTCGAAACCGCATGGTTGGAGACACTGAAAGTTATGTGTGCGAACCGACAGCAATGGCGATCATGTCACTTCTTATCACACCAGAATGCTTGAAGTAGTATGTATGCACAGTTGAATTGTGTACTCTGTATGTTGACCATAAAGGTCCTCTTTCTTTTTCCGTCCCTAAAATTAAGTCTAAACCCTATCCTCTTTACACATTCTCACTTTCCTTGTATGCAATGTGAGATTGGGATCGATCAGTGAAGCTCGCTTCAATGTATTACGCTGTACAGCGATGATGTTGATGACAACAGGCGTTGCGTAAATTTCACATTATTGCAACTTACCATAATTTTCAAAATATTTTGATCCTGCCTGGGTAAAATCACTCAAAACAGAATTTTAGCGTATGATCTTTACCAAGCATGAGGACTTGCATTTCGATTTATCGATTCTTCATTGCCTTTCCCTCCTAGAGGGTGTTGTTTTCATTCACCATATGCCAGATACATTCTCATTCCTTTCTCCAAATCATATTTTTCAGTTCTTCTGGCCTCGGTTAATCCGACCTCGGTCGTTCTTATTCGACCGATGCGATGGTCACGGAAAGCGATATGTGGGCTGGCAACAGCTACAAGTTTGCACGAAGCGGGACTGGTCTAGTCAGGAGAAATCTTCTCGAGATCCGAAAGTGACCGTAACCGATATAGCATTGAATTGGAGGTTACTGGGTGAGCTATTTAATCCTGTCCTCTCACGCGCTCTGCTTCTGTTTTCTTTCCGTGATATTATGTAACGGGGTTGGTATGACTATCTGCTTGATAAAAATGTGATTTTTAAGGGATGCAAACGAGCGTATTTCTCTGTGAGAATGAATGATGGCGAACACAGGATGATTATATTTTTTGTTTTGCACCAGTCTGAGTCTGAATCCCGACTGTGGACCAAACAAATCACGGCACATTATTCTTTATAACACTGAAAAAGGTCCGTGGTGTGTCAGTGAACACACTGCTGCTAGATTGCCCATGCCAAAGCAGATGAATTTTCATGGACAACACATAGCCGGGGCCTTTAACTGTNCCGCAATCCATTTGGAGGGGGGGGGGGCAGTGTCCGAAGGGCGATGATCTGATAGGATCATCACCCTTCGGATGGAGGTCAAACGTCCAAGGTATCGAATGCTCCTCGATGCCCAGTCCAAACGGTAATCACAACTAGGAAGGTGGGGGTGGATGGGTGTTGTGCTCTTCTTTATGGGTTATAGCCAACTACCCTAGGCGAATAGCCAGTAGTCCACTGAATCGGTTATACCTTCTGATGTTAACCTTTTGCCCTCTCACAATAGCGGGAAAACACCTCACACCGAGGGAAGGTAGTGAATAAGGATTCCTAATCAGAGGATGGTGGAATGCTTATTGTGACTTTCCGATTCAAGCTACGACTCAAATAGAAGTGTGTGTGTGGATAGGTTGAACCTGCACTTGGTTTATTCCCTGATCTATTTCCATATTTCGTATTGATCGCACAATCGTTAAATAATGTTTATTGTTGTATGTATATATGCATATTAGAAATGTTTGTCAAAGGTAGAACCTCAAGTATCGGACGTTTCCCCTTTTCTCTCTATGCTCGTACTACCATCCTTTTATCATTCGTACCAATCTCCTTTACTCGTTTCCCTGTTTCTCTCGGATCGGCGCGCTATGTGAAAAGCGAGCGGCGGCAGGACATAATTGTTTCCATATCTCTCCGCTATATCAATTTGCTAAAACGCGGTCGTCTAAGGAGTGTTTGAAGGAGAAGTATCAGGGGACGTGCACTTCAACGTTCACACCACCGATTTCATCTCTGATCTAAATCCGTATACGCTCCTAACCGCTGACTTTCGTTGTTGGTCGGAGAATCTAGAATGAACATGGGATCCTAGCGGCGATATCAAATGCTCCACACACACGTGCAGCACAGTAAAAGGTCAGACGTCTCACACATTCAGGCCTAGAAAGCATGGACTGCATGTGATGATGTAGCCAGTGGACGTCCAAACGTTTCCAATCTGCTACTCCACTGTATCCTCTGAAAGTCGGTCAACAAAAGTGCGGTTTGATCACATATTCTTACTAGCATCCACGTACGAGATACAGGCAAGGGAAACGTGAACTGGAATCTGTTGGGAATACCGTACAGTGATTGCAACTCACAGAACCAAATATCAACAGCCGAGCATAAGGGTGAATAAACTTGGACTGTAAGAATGAAAACAGTCGATGTCACTGGAGGGTGATGATTTTCTACGACTACAAATATGCTTTTAAGCAGCAACAGAGTGTTGATCGTTTGCGAGCTACCTTTGGTGATGACGCGCCTTCAGGAAACACTTTATTTCCAGAATATCAAGCGCATGCTGCGTGGAATCCGATACGAGTCACCAAGGGCTGCAGCGGAGGCCTTTATTGAACTGGTCGAAGGGTTACTTGCTGCAGCATGGTCAACTGTTTCGCCAAATAGTTTGAGTTCATGGAATTGCGCGTGAACGCTGTTGGACAATACTTGGAGAAAATGTAGTGCTACTTTTTGTGTAACAAGTAAAACGTTTTGTGCATCCGGAAACGTTTTGATCAGTCCCTGTACAACACAAAGCACAATGGAGCTTCGAAGCCGTTAAGACACTAGATCTGGACTATTTGACGAAGCAGGGCGTACTGCAAATTATATTCCCTTTTAATCACTGACTTAACTAGATTTCGTAGCAGCTAAGTCCTTTACTGAGATGGATGAAACCCGTAAAAGATTTTTTCTTGCTATGTATAATTCTGTGCAACAAAGCACTAGCATACTGCCAGTGAAATGATAGTTTTGTATGTCAAAACGTCAAATACTTCGTTTTCTCCTTTTTAAATCGCTCTCCTTCATGTCCCTTATTTGTTATCGACTGTATAAGAATTGATATATGAATGAGTGGATAAAATTTCCCGAAAGGATACTGTCGGCCTCGCGGTCCTTTCCACTATTCAGTTATGCGTATCCGGTATTTCTTTTTAAGTCATTTATTTACTTGTCAGTTTATGAACTTGCTTGAAAATGAAAATCTAGATCCATACCCATATCCATCTAATCTCTAGAATTGACATTTTTTCTTCACTCACTCTCTTACCCCTCCCCTCCCGTCTTGGTTGTGCAGAATCACAACCAGCCTATGAGCCCAAGTATGTGGAAAACCCACATCTTTGTCCGAATTTGTGGGATCGTTTACAAGTGGCCAAACCGGAGACAATGGTGAGGAATAACCGTTCCCTGACGTTATCCATTAGTGTTTCCTTCACAAGACATTTCTGCTCCCATATCTTTGTCAACTGGGCTTCGTGTCGTTTTTTTCGTCCGGTCGATGAAATAACGCCCCCACCCATAGTTTGTAGGGTTTGTTTACAGAGACCTTCGTAACTATAGTTCGAATTAGGCAGACTTAGTACCGTTCGGTTCAATGCCACGTTTAACCTAGAGGTGCCTTATGTTGTTCACCAGTCCGAATCCCGGGGCTTAAGAGGCTGGTTGTCATCCCCGAACAACAGGTCTTCGCAACTGTGGGGTCCCCTTGCTATTCTTCACACAAATGTGTGCAATGAAATTCACCACGCTAAACGTTTCTACGAAAGCAATCTAACGAACCCGCGTGATGTGAATTGCTTTCTCCATATTTTTTTGTTTTATCATCCCCCCACCTGCCGCTGCACATACAAACGAACGTCCTCGATAACAAAAGTTGTCTCGGAACCCCACAGCTCCGGTATTTAGCATGCTGTTGCCACCCCCGAATGTGACCGGATCCTTACACATTGGACACGCTCTGACGTGCACTGTACAAGACACCCTGGCCAGATAGTAAGTTTCATACATCCAGTTTCCTTAATAAATTTTATCACGGCGAAGAAGAACCACATTTCAGCAGGATAAAATGAATTCAGTTATTTCGAGTACTCTCAATCAGCAGCATACGTACAATGACAATAAAAGTCGAAAAACAACAAAGACATGATAAGTTATCGGAAAAATGAACCCATCAATTGGGCCAATCACAATATAGGGGCAAAGATCACACAGTCAACCACGGTAAGTGAACATATGACGGGGCTCAATCTTACCAGGGCAGGGTAAGATCGGCCACAAAGTCTAATTGTTGACATAAATTGGGGTTAAGCCGTCGAATGGCTTCAGCAAACTGAAGTAAACGATGTTGTTGTTGTCTACTTCTGGTCCTAATAGACTTGCTTGGCTCCACACGCAAGTTGCAGTCTAATATGTTGCGAGCAATAGAGCTTTTAATAACTTTGTTTCCCTTCAGCGCTAGATCCTTGGGATCCTTGGGTGGACCATTGCAATACTCGGATCAGGAGCTTTTAGCGGATTAGTATAATCCATAATTCCTTGAGAAAGTACTCATGTTTCGTGATTTGTTGGAATATGGTGACTAATAAGTCAGCTTGGTTGCTCTTACAATAGGACTCATTGTGCCCAGTGTAATCTGTTGTGGTGGATTGCCCATACCGTAATTCCGAGTCTTTTTTACGCTTCATCATGGTTGGTTTGAAATCGTTCCATCGTCCAGTTGAGGTATCTTATAGAGGTTGATCCACTCGTTTAAAGTTCAGAGGTTAAGTTCTAGTCTTCTTACATCCGCGGAAATACCTTAGCCGCATAAACGAGCGCCATAAGGCCGCTATGCGTACTATGAAACAAATGCATGGAGACGTCGTCCTTTCGATCGAATCGTGTTCATGAATCGACTATCTGCAAGGCCGTAATCAGTTACCACATATTTGATTTGACTTTGTCCCATACCGCGAACAGTGATTCACTCCTATTTGGCACTCAGACTGATTCTACACGGTGACCACAGATAGTAACCTCATGTGCTCCGGTTTTTCGGTTACCACGAGCGGAAACTTCAATATTTATTTTATTCAGTTTTATTAAATAGACACATATAGGAACGATTTAAATGAGAAGAGAAAGAAATACATTGAAAACGGAACGGGTAGACAGTACAAACCCGAATTTCGTGGCGGTGCAATACGGATCCGAAACCGCTTGACCATCGTTTCCACTTAAGTTGAACAAGTACCCTGAAAACCATGTAATGCAATTATCCTGCTTGTGTGGAACTGAACTTGATTGATGAACTTCACGTTTTTCCTGAAAGGACCAATTCTCGGCAAATGATCATATCTTTAACATTTTCGAGAACATTTTGATGTTTCTGGTAATTACATATGCTCGACCATCGTCGTCCAGAAATTGGTTCTGTTCCGTTATGATTACATCTGATGCGTGTCCAAAATCACTAATCATCCCGTTCCAGTTTCCTTTTCATTGACTGTTCTATTTCATGCCCCTCACAGTAACCGGATGCGAGGTAAAACTGTTCTGTGGATACCTGGCATGGATCATGCAGGCATAGCCACGCAAGCTGTGGTTGAACGAGAGCTGCGTAAACAGTCCCAACGAACTGCATCCGCGCCGGGTACCACACCGGAGGCGAATCCACGTTTGATGCTTGGTCGACATGAATTTGTGGAAAAGGTGTGGAAATGGAAAAATAAGTGAGCACCTGTTTGTCGTAATCGCTGTTTTGCCATTTCTCATCACCACTTACGCCCGCATGTTTTTCCATCGTTTGCGTGATCCTTTAACCAACACAGAAATATCTGGCCTGCTCATCGCATCCGACGTCAAACACTAGTTTCTCCTGACAAACATACACACACGTCAACACATCAGAGAATTCATTTAACGTCTGTTTGGCATGTGAATGAAGGCATCCAGATTTAATATTTTACATACGATAACTCCAGGTTCCCCGGGCCAAAACAGTCGGATATTCTTGGAGAATTCCCAACGGGAGCCTTTGAATAGCCAAAGTCTGACCCGCCAACCGGATGAGCGGTGTGTGAATAGCGCAATTCATTGGGGGTCGGTGTGCAATTTATCGGATCGCACTCCCTCTGGACAGAGTCAAAATTCCAAGGTGCCAACTACACCCCAGTGCTCAATTGAGCCGGTGACCACTGCCACAACCTGAAAGGCGTGTGTGTGGTTCGTACGCCTCCTCTTGGTAATTTTGACATTAAGGGTTTTAGCTGACTAATCTAGGTGAATTGCCAGTGGTCCACCGACATGGCTGTAACTATGGATGTCGGCTGTTTGTCCTCCCACTTTGGTGCTAAAACACTTCGGGCTCGCCCGGAAAAGACTATTTGAAGCACTTTGTCGTACGGGAACACTCCACGAAGTGCAATTGAATGGCGACCAGCCACAACCCGAGACACTCACAACCAACTGCACTGAGACTTTCTGAGATAGCATACTTTGTTTTTATGTTACAATCAGTCTGAGACTTTGAAGCTTCGACAAATTAACAAATGGTTGTCATGAAAAGATGGGCGAAAAGAAGTGTCAGTTTCATGCCACCCTTTTGTTTTGATTGGTTATGGAAGTCTGCTGAGATACTTGGGAAAATGTGTGTGACGAATTGGCTTGATGACACGGGAAAACCACGGTTGTTCTTTAGAGGGATGGAGATGGTCCGATTATGTACCCACTCCCTGTCATTAAAATTTAGCGTTCGCATGGTATGTAGCCAGAACAACAATCAGTTAGTTAAGGGAAAGGTATATTATTAACTCAAAGGCTACGTAAGTTTAATTTACCTACGCTGGGGTGTATCTGATCACAGAAGCTGAGTGAATGAAATCGCAGCACAAACTGACGGTGTGACCAAATCTCGCTGAATATGTTCTCAACTTGAAAATAACTGAGATACCTAGCTAAAGAGTCAAATGCGAATTGTCCATCAAGCATGGTAGGTTGTTTTTAGTTAGCCCGTAACCTGCATGAAAGTCCAGGTTTGCTTGGAGGCTTTCGATTGGAGTTGAAATGTTGTTATCTGTGTCTTCCTTTGTTGCTGTTGGGTCAGCTGAACTGACTGACTATTACTAAATACAACACCGGAACAAACATGAATTGGTAATTTGGTTCAACCATGGTATGAGCTGGTTGGCACAGTGGTAGCACACACGCCTTCAATGCGATGGGTCCGGAGTTAAAATCCCGGAGGGGACGGTGGATATGCATTACTGATGAGCTCTAACAAGAGCGAAACTCGAGTCTAGTGCTTTCGAGTGTATGGTTGAATCGATGAACTGAGGATAGTACGTGAAAGTGAAGTCTGAAAGATAGTCAGTCAGTAAGTAAGTAAGTAAGTAAGTCAGTCAGTCAGTCAGTCAGTCAGTCAGTCAGTCAGTCAGTCAGTCAGTTAGTCAGTCAGTCAGTCAGTCAATCAGTCAGTCAAATTAATCAATAAAATCAGTATATTAACAATCGTGATGGAATCTGTGCCAGAAAATCAGAAGAGATCAAGGGTTAATGCTCCAAGTGGTAAATACGGGCTAACATGCGTACAAGAATACATGCGGAACGGATGACGATAATTTTCGTGCCTGTCCTACTGACGATCTGGAGCAACGGGAGATCCAGTCCGATTGGTCTATAGTGGTGACAGTTTTGAGCGCGTTCGAATTCCAGTAGTCACAAATTTGCCGAACGAACACTCAAGGGAACACATATGTATCAGAATTCTACCATTCATTCCTAATTCAATTATTGGGGTATACTGTTGCCCTCTTTATTTCTCTTTTGTCCTTTCCAGGTCCGTTTGAATACGGTGAACTAAACAGTTTCTGCGAGTTCCTCGATTGTTTGTTTGATTATTGATATCAACAGTTAGAATAATCAAAGCTTGTTTGACGGACTACAATTTCTGTTCGGTTTGCTGCAAATCACAATGAAATCTACTTGGTTACGTTGTGTTTGTATTTGATCCCCTCATTTCCCTTTCTCTCTTGTTTTGGTGCGTTCTTACTCCACAGACAGTCCACTCTCATACGACAACAACTCGATTCATTGGGTCTCAGTCTAGACTGGAGTCGAGAATTTTTCACTCTGGATGAGGTAATTTCTTAACTGTTTGATTCTGATGATACACTCACTGATATTGCTCTTTCAACTTCTCATAGTATTCTTTTTTATTTATTATTATTTCTCCGATAACTACTGTTTATTTGCTAGTCTGAATCATGAAATTATGCCAATGCAGTACGAAACTCCCCGCTTGGTTTTGGGCTGATTTTCCAATTTTGAGCTACTCTACTGATCGCATAACCCAGCTTGGTGAGTAGATGTTCGACTGCGTTTAAATACTTACACCCTGTCATCGAAATGCTTCAGATCTGCACTGCATTCGGTTTCACTGTTCGATCAAACGAACTTGAGTCGTGTACCACTTTCAACGAGAACCGTTTCGGACGCAAATAAATATTGCTGGGCACAATTCTGATTCGCTATGCAATCGACAGTCAACGCGTGATGCAGACAGATGCTGTTGTTGTACTATGACCGAAGACTCTTTTGTACGTCACTAAACTACTTTCTGGCGTTTGGGTCTCATTTGCTTCAATCAATTGGGAAGCGTGTTCAACAAGTAGCCGAATGAACATATCCGGTTCACATCTGGTTCGTGGCTCTTATCGACTTATACGTTCGACTGTTGCAGAAAAAGATGCAGTGAGAGTCTAAGTAAAAACTGATATGCGGTCATTCGCCCCCCCCCCCCCCCTTGCAGAGGGGACACATCTCACCAATCGCAGTCTGATGGATCAATCTACTTTGTTTGCAGTGAGGATTTTCACTACGGAATCTGATCGCCTAACTGCCGAATGCGTTTGACACGCAGTAAATTGCACTTCAAACACAATCACACACAAAACACAAGTGCATCCGTATGTAAGAGATCACCAACCTGGGATCGGAGATACAAGTCGTTTTGTGCTTACCAGTGTGTGAATGTCGATGGAATTACTCAAATTCTTGTCTAATCTAGCACTGATTCATGCCATTCCTTTCAATATATACCGTAGTGTGATAACCGTTAGATGAATCTAGTGTTTTGTTCTAAAATCCAGCTGTCGAAATCCTTAGAGCTCGATCAGCGTGGTACACTAGACCCTAGTCTTATAAAGGTTGTATTCACCCAATTAGCGCTGTAGGACTGCCTCAACTTCGTTCAGTATCATCCTCAGGGTTGATCCGTGGGATCCTTCTCTGTGTCTAACAAAGTATATGACAGGAATTTCACTGGGAAGTTGTCAAATGGATGACTGCTATCGTGCAATCTGGTTGCTGGCGGTTCCATTTTATTCTTCTTGTACGTCATCTAAAGTTCCCACGTGACATACTATCCAAATGAGTGACGTCTTGTTCAGGTAGATTTTGAGAAATCTAATTTTCACGTGGCATTCAAGCTGATTGTCATATGGGCTTTTTTGGAACGAAAACCGATTGTTTTTCCTTTTTCTCTTTCTGTCTGTTGACCATTTTAGCTACACATTCTTGTAATACAACGGATAGAAATTTGATCACAAGTTCGATCATTCCGTGTGAGAGAACTGTTCCATTTTCGTATCGTGAATAGAGGCAGGTATCATGCATTATCCACTCCTCGAACAACCCGAGTAGAGAGTATCGGGACAGCTTCACGTTTTTCTCGCAAATCGTTGATTGTAAGCTGAATAGATTTAGCGCCCCGTGGAGCGCTGTTGAATTATTGTTGTCTGGTCCAAATGACAATTCTTGGTTTTCAGGACACGTCACAGCGTGTCTCTACGACTGTTTCCTCATGAAGCCCTGGCCTACAGGATGAAAACTTTCGGAAAATGAGGTTATTAGGCTCATACAGTGATAATTGGGTGAAATTCATCTGTAGTTCTCTTTTTTTCACCCTTTACCGGGTAAACAACGATCAAGTTATTTAAAAACATTTTACACCGGAAGGATTAAACTCCATGGCGGCGAAGACCTGCTGCTCGTCTATAGGGTTCGGAAATCTAGTTCTGAGCAGCGACAAACAAAAAGGCCCCAGTAAGATAAATGAAGCCCGGATGATTTCATTGAACCAAACCACAGCTCTTTGGCCCTCGTTGATAGTTGACTGGCGCTACCATGGCTAAAAACGTGAATACCAAGACCCAGGTCACGCCAGTAAAAGTAACTGTGACCGCCGAACCACCACCGAATATTATTTTTGTTGTTTTTAATGTTGTTGCTTCTTTTGCTGAACAACCATATTTGATGCGATGTAGTCATCTGTGAAGTGGAAACGATGATTCTAGCTTGTCTTACAAAAAATTGGAGTAGTTCTGTGTATGTTGGTTTTCGCCCGTCGGAATTTATCGTTACAAATGCAATCGGGAATCGCGGAATGTGGGTGTTTGGGAAACCTATTCCCCCTCACAGGTCGGTGCATATGCTCGCATGCAGTGTGAACGGACAGCATAGGTACATGCCCACGCTGTGGCACGATGATGAAATGCATTGCCTTACTACGATCTCTGTGATTTGCCTCCTAGAAACTACCACTTTGAAATAGATTTCCCCTACGAACCGGGAAGTTAAAATTACACTGGCATGAGGACGCGCATTCACCGTCACGGAAGTCATGTAATCGTTGCATGTGTGTGTGTGTGTGTGACTGATTGCTTTAGGTATCCACTATTCCACTGATGAGTATTGTATCCATGGTAGGCTATCCCCTTTGCTCATTATCACGATTCCCATTGTTTTCGCTATCTGTTCGCACACGAAACACTTCGTTCTCCAACAACGAATTGATTGCTCTTACTGCATTTCCTTGCATCTGACAAAATTCTACCGTATTATGTTGTCTGCACTCAGAAACACTCTCGCACCGTGATTGAGGCATTCGTCCGATTGTATGAGGCCGGCCTTATTTATCGGGACTCAAGCATTGTATCTTGGTGCTGTCATCTCCAGTCGGTTATTTCAGACATCGAGGTGAGTTACAAATAACTATTGTTCCACCGCTTGTGGTGTTTGTCGCCGGGCCTTGGAGGGACTATATGTGTTGAACATGCCCTTAATCTCAGTTTCTTTTTGAATTCGCCGCCGACGATTCGTTTTAAACAAGTTATCTGAGGTAAACAATCCTAATTTCTTTCATAAGATAAAGCCATAGATTTAGAACGTACTCATTCAGTATTACCTGGCTTGGCGATATTGCACAGATAATGTAAAACATGCCGAATCGGTGAACAGTGGAAGTTATTTGGTGGTTCATGTATGTCGCACCTTCAAAATGCAAGATTGTTAGAAGTCTGTGTCTATAACTTTGTTACGCACCCTTCAGAAGTAGTCAGCGAGTTGTGCAAGCGATGACGGGAATTAGAGGGATGAGGTTACTGGGTTTGCATCACACGGATTATGATCGCACTCAGGCCGAAAGCCTTTGCGAGTTTTCTTTTTCGTGTTCGTGAGTGTCCGCACGCACACACACACACACACACACATACACTGTAACAGTCGTTCGTATACCATTGAGGAGGAGCTGGTGATATCCAGTAAAGACAAGTCCATCCTTAACTCATCTGCCTGCTTATAAGAATATACTTTAATCTTTTTCTGGCTCTATTTTTTGTTCACCGTTCTTTACTTTCAAAGGTTGATACTATTGAGTTGCATGAGGCCACCCAACTTCCCGTTCCCGGCTATACGGAACCACAGATGTTCGGGATAATGGACTATTTTGCTTACCCCCTTTGTAACAGGTAAGTAGCTGATTCAAAGTGAATAGTAATAAGTGATGGTTCGTAATTAGTCACCTTTGATCCATTGATTTCTATGAATAAACCGGTTTATTTACCTGTTCCGCGTAAGCAGAAAACAACGTGCCCCGGCAATAGAACCAGGCAAGATATCTTCCATTAGTTATCGTTTTCAAAGCCCTCAGGATGCCTCCGTTCAGCATATACACCAAAGTGGGTATCGGTGGTAATTCCGAACACCCGATAACCGATTTCTAGGTGGTACATCTTGCGAAATTGACTGTCATCATGATAAACTATGAGAATAAGGAAATGATTGCACTGAATCGGCACAGTTTTCACACTGATTTCTAAAATAAGAACAGAAAGTTTGCGTAGGTTTGACCGAAACACTGTCGTTTTGTGTTTGGCACGTTCGAACACTAATGGCGTCGGGGTGAAATCTCGCTGTAAATGAGGGATAGTGTACATTCCGCAGTAGCAGCGCCACACACAGGTGTCCATGCCATATGCTTTTTGTGATTAAGCACTGTTACTGCCCTGTATAAACGCAAATGCTGTTTTTCTCGTAGATTGTGCTAGTTGAGAGCGGGAGGCGTATAAATTATGCATATCACTGGATAAACCATATCGGTCTGTACTATTGGCCGAGTAGAAAGTGGTTAGTGAACGTCGGCCCGAATACCACGCCATTGTGCAATAAAAGCTGTGAGCAACCAAAACCTGTACGCCGAAGTTCAAGGATGACGTTTGTATAAGGTAAGGATCATAGGTTTGCATTCGCCTGAACATTTGCCGAAGGATATGTGTTAAGTGTTTGGTTCCGTGCAGGTGCTTTCCCGCCATTCCAAGTTACCACTCAATACATTTCTCCCTGCCGACCCACGCCGGAATTCACATGTGCAACATGCAACTACAGAAGGCCAGTGCTGCAAGAACCCAATGTACTGATCTTACGTAAATTGGACTTTTTACCCCGTCTTTGGTTTATCCTTATCGTATCTTACCGCAACCAACTTAGGCATAAACGAAACGGAACAGCATTCATGTCTCATCTGCCAGTTATTCTGCATGCGGAAATCTTTCCATTCGTTCAGAGCGATAATACGAAGTGAACAAAAAAGAAGCTCATGCTGTGAATGAAACCACCTGTGTACCGGTTGGGATTCTTAACTCCCTCCTCGAGCTACGTGATCAATGGACAGCAGGGTAGGCGAATGGTTACAGTGATTTGTAAGGTTACTTCTGTAATAACCTCCTGTAATGGATCAGTCAAGTTTCGTTCACGGCATATCATTGTCTATTACCAGCCACATCCCAGATTGCTGTTTTTTTTTCGGCCCAGCCCTTACAAGCTGTTTGCGAAAAGTTGTGATCGATGGGAATGTAATAAATTGTCTGGTGAAGCTTATCAGGCCGAAAGCCTCAGTATGGTCGGGGGTGGGTGTCTGAGATTCTGACTGGTCACCATTCTCTTACACCTCGCGAAATGCAAAATAAGTGATCACGCTCAGGCGGGGTCTTCGAATTTCGGACGCACTATCCGTTTTTTCTATCATCGGATTACTCACTGCATAACCGTAATTGTGTCTGAGCTTTTTTGCATCATTCGCATGAACTTTTATCTTGGTTGCCAAGGCGACTGTTGTGCTACTACAAATTTGGTCAAATACACCCAGGATTTCATACATTCAATCAAATGGAGCAAATGTGTTGCTGCAACCTGTCTTGGGGGACTATAAGTAATGAAGTCAAAAGGACGTTCAGGAAGCTTTCGAAAAATCCGAGGAAGCATCGAGCCGGTTGGAAAGTTGCTCTTCCGAACCAAACCATCTCCCGCTTATGTGTTCCCACCATTCTCAGTTCTAAGGTCCGATCTCTTATCGGAAATATGGTCAATCTCACCGGCTTAGTCAAGCTACGGGAATGTGCCCAACTAGGTGTAATCATGCTCCAAGAAGGTTGGCTCCATAATGAAACTTAGGATGAAATAATACACCCGGATGATTTCAAAGTCAAAAGTCAAAAATCGCTTTATTCATCCTAATGGATGGATTATCAGCTTTTGCACTCCAGGAACATTTATCGTCGCAAAAAAGTGAAAACAAATCAGCCTCGTCAATTCAAAGGAATGTGGGGTACAAGTTTAAAAACGAATATCAATTGCGTAGGCAATTCAAGAGGTTTTCTCTAACGGATGCCTTTTGAACCAGAAATCTCGGAAGATAGGGGATGACGGATAAGCGATAGGCGGTGGTACGAGCATACACCAGTTTATAACTCCATCTTGTTACAGAAGTGGATATACATTGTTTAAGTTCTGTGTGTATTAGGTGAGTGGTGTCTGATAGAATATAGTTGCAGAAGTTATCGCACGACGTAAAATGTTTATCGGCGATAAAGTTAAGCACGTGCAAGTAAGAAAAACTGCTTGTGCGAGAAATTTTTATGGACCGGCGTAGAATTGTGTAATCTTTAGCTCTAAGACCGGCAAATAAAACTGGGGATCAGTAGAGAAGATGAGTAACAACACAAGAATATATAAATCGAATGAGTAAATACAGTGGAACTTTTAAAAAAACGCAAGCGGGTAATAAAGAAACACAACCGTAGAATTTTTACAAAAGTAGAAGTTAAATGTGAGGTCCAGGTGAGATCTTGGCGGATAATGACACCTGGGTACTGTAGAGAGTTTACTGGAGGAACAGGCTAGTTGTCAACATAAAGTGCAGAACAGTTTCTTTCAAAAGAATGTAGCCGTTCTCCTTTGGCAAGTGAAAAGGTGACATCGCTGCATTCAGAAACATTAAGAGATAACTTGGAAGACGAAGACCATAAGTTTAAGGCAAATAAACTGTTTTTTAAGATGTGAGAAGCGGAGATCACCTTGGAATTTGGAACCAATTGTGACATCATCAGCATACTTAATAAGAAGATCATTTAGGTTAGTGGGAAGGTGACGAATATAGAAAGAGAAAAGAAAGGGGGACAGAATCGCTCCCTGGAGCACCGCTGAGTTGACTGGTAGGGAGTCAGGTTTTTCCAAGAAACTTTTTGAATTGTGTTCTATCAGCAAAATAATCTTGGAGTAGAGAGAGGGTATTATCGGGCAATCCAGCACCTTGGAGTAGAGACAAAATCCTGCTCCTGTCAACACAGTTAAAAGCGTAACGCTTACTATAGTCAAAGAAACACACGAAAAGCCCTACCGTGCATGTCTAGGGATCGCAAAACTGAGTTTACCAATTGAGCGAGAGCATCTAAGGTATAACATTGTTTGCGATAAGCCAATTGGTTTTCAGTATTGGGAATAATGTTACTGAGCATAAACTTTTCGAAAATTTTTAGTAAAATAGAAGTGCAAGCGATTGGTCGTAGTTGGCCAGCCTCTTTTTGGGGGACTGGTGTAATGCGCACAGGTCTCCAGCAGTCGACAATTTTTTGTTTCTCGAAGCAGCGGTTAAAAATACCAGCAAGTGGCTCCGTCAGATAATGCGCACATTCCCTAAGGATGACTGGGCACAGTCCCTCAGGATCGGAAGCTTTTGATATTTTTAGGCATTTTAGCTGTGCACGCACCTGATTTGAATGGACACGTGAAACTTCACGGTGGTCAACTGATTGGAAATAAGGATGCGATACTCCAGTTTCAGTCGACGTGGAAAAAATGCAGTTGAGTTCATCTGCTGTGGGTTAGGGCTCGCGTATTCTGACTTTTGTTCCACAAAGTTTTTTTCATAGCGTTCCAGATTTGCTTGCAATTACGGTCACCGAGAGGGGTTTCAGTGTAGACTTTAAGATTTTGGATCTCATTCTTGATCAGCACTGACGTTTGTTTAATCAAAGGTCAATCACGATTTTTATATGCCCATTCCTTGGTTCTTCTGAGGGTTTTCAGTGTGAGAGAAGAAAATCTGGCGGGACTGATGTGTATAGGGGATATGGGGCAGCAGATATCAAAGCAGAAGTTCAAATAGCTCGTGATGTGTTCACTCGATCGAGACACTTGGGACAAAGAACTGATCAAAATTTGTACCAGAGACCATTTCTCTCAGTGATGCCAAGTGGACCGGGTCACATCCTATGAAAAATATTCCTGCTAGATGTATGTGTCAGTGTGCTATGATGTTTGTTTGAATAGACTTTTGGTGAAACATTGATGATACAATGACCGGAGTTTACCAGAGGGGCTCCTCTTCGCACAGCACACAGGTCGGAATCGTTCGAAAACATAAGATCCAGCTGCGCGTTTCCTCTTGTGGAGAAATTTACAATATTGTGGAGAGAGAGACATGTCAAGAAACGAATATCTGCATGGTTGAAATCGCCACTAACAATAAAAAGAGAGCGTTCCGTGTAGTTAGAAAGTTCGGATATAAATACATCAGCAAACGTCTGTACATTAGAAGTTGTATTGGAAGGTGCTATGCAAATGTTTGATGCCACAATAGAACGATATTTACTAAGGGATGGGGTCTACATTCAACCGAATCCCATTAGATATATCCTACGTGAAGATTATCTTTGTACACTTACACCAAGACGATTTGGTGTAGGTTAATAGACCACCCCCTCGATGTCGTAGTAAACAGTCTCTATCCAACCGATGCATATCAAATGAATCCAGTTCAACCAAAGAGTCGTTGATGTCAGGATGCAACCGCGTTTCTTGCAGCATAACTATCCCCAATGCATGGTATTTTTTCGTCCTTATCAGTTTCGTTAATTCGCTCCTTTCGCCAAATAGTGGTCGTACGTTTGATGAACAAATCGTAGGGATAGACATTTTCTGAAGTTTTGTGTTACATAAGGCCACTTACCAACCTGCTCGATGTTTTCTGAGGAAACCTGCTCTGGACGGTGTGCATCTTTTGTATCTATTTTTAACTTGACGACTGAACTGATGGAGAATGCCACTCTTGCGCGATAACACAATGTTTCAAATTCTTTAAAGTTTCCGGGGCTTACGTAATCATGAAACCGTGTGTAACGTAAAAGTTGTT